GCACTGCCCAGTTTCTCATACCTTGGAATCAGGTTAGACGCTTCCATACTCATTTTATTTTCCACATTAATTTTCACGTGGTACTTATTTTTATCACAGCAACTGCCCACCAAAAAGTCAGCATCACAAAGATGTGTCTTCGAAAAGAATGTGCATGATCTAAAGTTGAAATTGTGAACTACCCTGAGCTGATAGTTCACATGGTATCTAATAGCTGATAGTTCACATGGTATCTAACAGTGTTGCTCTGTTTCCCTTAAAAATGTAAACCTAGGGCACTCTTGTGAATTCGCTGCAGTGCTCCAGGGTACTTTGGCATTCAGTTTGGGAACCATGAGCTAAAAATGATTTCCTCAGTGAAACTGGCCCTCACATTTTTAGACTAGGTCAGATTTCTCTATTATGTGATCTCAAAGCACTTCAAAACATCTGTCAGTTTGTTATTCTTTTGTCCTTTCAGTTTTTAATTCTGTTGTCCTTTATAACATTTATGTTTGTAGTTCACGTTTAATTTCATGGTTATTGGATTGTCTCCCTCATTACACCATAAGCTCCATAAGGATGAGAACCTTAGATTTCTAAATTTACTCTTATATCTTCAGTGTCTAGTACAATGTCTGGCATAAATTGATGCTGAATAAACATTTGGTAAGTAGATTTTGAAGCCAGTCATACCTGGATTTCTGCCATTTAGTGAGTTATTTAAATTTTTGGCTCTTTGGTTTTCTCCCCTGAAAATTGGGGATATTAATCTACTTTACAGGGTGATTATGAGGATTAGCCAAGAGAATCCATGTAATAAAATGTCTGGCACAGTGCCTACTTTGTGTTTGCCACTTCATATATGTTAGCATCTCTCTCCTTGCCTATTCTGTGCTTATCTATAAATAGTCAATGAAAGAAATATCTTGAGCAGCGTCAGTAGCTACACTTCGGCGGTCATTCTTAGTCAGTAGACTGAAGAAAAATTGATTTGCAAGGATATGAACAAATGTCAAAGTGTCATACCAGTGTATTGTCTACTAGGCAGTATGTAGAGTTCAGACTCCGGAGTTAGACTGTCTGGGTTTGAATCTTATCGTAACACCTACTATGTGTGAGATCTTAGCAAAGGTTTAGTTTCTCTATGCCTCAATTTCCTCATCTGTAAAATGGGAACAATAATATATAGTATCTAACTCAGAGGGGTGTTGTGAGGACTAAATGAGCTAATGTATGTAAAGTACTTAGAGCAGTGCCTGGCATGTGATAATTCCTATATAAATGTTAACTATTATTTTTATTATTATCATCATCATCGTACTTTTTCTGTGTGAGTTTTGCCTGCCCTTTTGATTTGCTTAAGAATTTTTTCCTTCCTGATTTATTCCTTTGTACTTTGGAAGCTGTACAATCTGTTTTTAGTGGTTACCCTAGAAATTTTAAGCACACATATTATTTAACTTAAGTCTAATATTAATATTTTTACTCTCCCCCAAACAATACAAATACCTTAGGACACAACTCTATTTTCTGTCCTATTCTTTTTTTTAGGATTTTAATTCTATATTGACTTTTTTTTTAATCCCCGCAAATGACCTGTTAATGTTTTATAACAAATGTTTGTTTAGAATAACTTACATACATACCATTTTCTTTACTAACCATTTATTTTTGCACCTCAGATCTTCCTTCTGAGATCATTTTCTTTCTTGAAGTATATCCTTCAGAAGGTTCTTTAATCAGTATGGGCTTGTGGTTAGGAAATTTTGCTGTACTCTTTACATGGTAGGTTCTTTTTTCCTAGTTCAAGCACCTAGGGTATCATCCTTGAGAGGTCCTGACTTTATGTGGAGCTCATTGATCTGACCTCCAGTCCTATTTAGGTCTCAGTCTTTGTCTCCTTTCCCCTCTCTGTGGCTGATTAAATCCTGGGCTCTAGCCACCTGTGATTTGGGGATGGGGAAAGTCCCCAGGGCAGCCATAGCTCCAGCACTCTCTCGCTCTTCTGGATTTGTGCTTTCGTGATTTATCTGAATTTGAGTTACTCCTTTAATTTTTGGCCAGCTCAGTCGTACATTAAAAAATAATAATAAAAAAATTATATATTAATAAATATACAAATATTAGAGATTATATATATGTATCCAACTACATGAGTGTGCTGTGCTGGGAGGGGTTCCTCTCTTTTTTTTAGTAAGTTTTATTTATTTATTTATTTATGGCTCTGTTGGGTCTTCGGCACGAAGGCTTTCTCCAGTTGCGGCAAGCAGGAGCTGCTCTTCATTGTGGTATGTGGGCTTCTCATTTCGGTGGTTTCTCTTGTTGCGGAGCACGGGCTCTAGGCTCACAGGCTTCAGTAGTTGTGGCACACAGGCTCAGTAGTTGTGGCTCGCAGGCTCTAGAGTGCAGGCTCAGTAGTTGTGGCACACGGGCTTAGTTGCTCCGTGGCATGTGGGATCTTACCGGACCAGGGCTCGAACCCGTGTCCCCTGCATTGGCAGGGGAATTCTTAACCACTGCACCACCAGGGAAGTCCTGGGAGGAGTTTCTCTGAATGAATGTATATTTTCTACCCCCATCAAAATTAGACACCTCTACCTAAGTCTGCCCTAGCTCAGAACACCTCTTCAATGTCAGTTCTTCCCCTTATCATTACTCCCATTGAAATCTACTTGATTTACATCCTTTGGATTAAAGTTTTAGTGATGGTAATCGATTAAACACCACATCCTAGTTAAGATGCTAATAGGAGAGGACTGTAGTCACGTGAGACCTCCGAAAGTCACATAGGAGTACAGTATTTTAATGGTTATTCTTCTGAATTGAAATTGAGAGCATTTCAGAGAAACCACTCTAGTAGTGGGACTTTCAGACTAGATAAGAGAGAAAAGGTGGAGACAGGATAACCATCTTACTCTTTGTGTCATGTTAGCTTGATCACACTGACTCTTGCTAACCTTAAAGCTAGTACCTTTAGCCCAGTTGGCATATGAGAATGTATTTATTCTAACATTTCAGTTAAATTAAGGACATTTTTATAGACTGAACATGTGATAAGAGCATTTAGCACTTAATAGAGAACAGGTGTGACTGAACATACTGTTTGCTGACAGTTTCCTGCTGCTGGTGAACAAAGCTAACCAAACAGCACTTTGGTAAAGGAAGAAGCCCCAGTTATTACCTACCATTCTTAGAAACTTTAACTTTGAGGAACTGGATCCCAAAAAAACCACATGTTCCATGCTTGGTTTCCATCAGTTATCTCCAGAAGACCGGTAAGTTGGTTCCATTTATCATTAGGGTATATTCTATACCAACAATCAATTGAATATGCTTAGTTTGGGGCTCTACAAAAGACTGCTTCTTTGCTCACTTTGTGTTTGGAATTTCCATGATGTATTAGTCATTGATGTTTGCCACTGAAAAGTTCTATGTGTTTAACGTATAAGACTTTAAGTATAATTAGGTAGATAATAACATGAATTTCTGTTCTCTTGGTGTCTACTGGGAGTAAAGAGACAGTCCAGAAGATGTTTTATTGATATTATGTAATTGGGAATTGACTTGATGGTTAATTTAGGTTTTTAAACTGGAAATTTTTATTTGCTACTTATTTAATGATTGTTGGGTGAGGCAAGTGGAAATGGAAATGGTGTCACAAGTGGAGAAAGGCAAGAACGAAGCAAACGAAGGATGGTCAGAATCTGGCTGAATGGTGGGTCAGATATGCCTGGCTCTGTGTGTGGATAAAGTTCCTGATCCTCTCTCCATGCTAGGATACAACAAAATGATAAAGTCCATGAACTTGGAGTCTCCTTTTTAATTTCCACCAGCAGATTCTGTCATGCGAAGGCCATAGTAGCTTGATGGCAAGACTCTGTATTTCCATGTCTGTCACCTAGGAATTACCTCAGAGGCCCACTGTGGAATAATCGTCACTGAGAGTCAGGAGACCTGATTGCCAGTTTCCTGTCTGCTAACTAGCAAGTCAGCTTATCTCAGTTTCCCCTTTCATAAAATGAGAGGTATGGAAATAGGTGGTCTTGCCAGCCCTACAACAGTTCTGTATACTGAGGCTTCATTGTTAGATAGTGTTGTAATCCTGTGTAGTCGCATTCAAGAGGCATGTTATCCAATCATTATGAATATGTGTATCTTCTTTGCCATTCTATGCTGTATGAATGGGAGCACCAAGGAATTGTATTTAATAAATTCCCACTGTATTTCATGTTTACATAGAACTTCAGAGTGATAACAAAGAATGTGTAAAGGCAGGAAAAGGAGTAGTTTTTTGAAGTAGAACAATTGTGTGTGAATTTTTTTTAATTAAAAATATTTAAGAAATGGGACATTGGAGCCAACTTTCTTACAATATAGCATAGTAGTAGAAACAATGTAGACTTTGAAGTCAGTTGCTGGTTCACATCTCAGTCTAACACCTGTGGCTATGTTGCTTAACTTTTCTGATTCTGTTATCTTCATTTGTAAACTGATGATAATAATGACAATTTCACTAGATTGTTATAAAGATGAAACAGCATAATGCTTCTACAGTGTTCAGCACAGTACATGGCACTCAGTAAATTTGTAAAGGCTAGCATTATTTTAGAAAAGATCTACAGTGAAGAGATCAAAGAGTAATTTAGATTAAAGTAGTTTTGGGGAGCATTGTATTCCCATTGTTTACTACAGCATAAGGAAATGATTACCCACACTAATCAGTTTACAGATTTTTAAAAACCCAGGATGGTATTTTAGAGTCTATCAAACATGAAAGGTCTTTCTACTTAGAGAAAATGTTTGGAGTTAACTTAGATTTTAAAATCATAGAAAGGGCAAGTGGATTTAAGGAAAAGTTTATAGTATACATGCTCTTTATATTCAAAATAGGTTACTAGTTGCCAGATGGAGCTAATGACCTAATGATTGGATAAGTTTCATAAGTTAAGCCTGAATATGTACCTTAACTGTCCTGTTATTAAAAATATGCATACTTTTACTTTTGGTTACTTTTAAAAAAAAATATTTATTTAATTTATTTGGTTGCACCGGGTCTTAGTGCAGCTCATGGGCTCCTTAGTTGCGGCGTGTGAACTCTTGGTTGCGACATGCATGTAGGATCCAGTTCCCTGACCAGGGATTGAACCTGGGCCCCCTGCATGGGCTCCTTAGTTGTGGCATGTGAACTCTTGGTTGCGACATGCATGTAGGATCCAGTTCCCTGACCAGGGATTAAACCTGGGCCCCTGCATTGGGAGTGCAGAGTCTTAACCACTGCACCACCAGGGAGGTCCCACTTTTGGTTACTTTTTAATTATATAAGTAGTACACATACATTATAGAAAAATTAGAAAATACAGATGAGTAAAAAGAAGGGTGTAAAAATTACCAGTAATCTTACCATCCAGAGAAAACCACCATTAATCAATATTTTGGGACATATTTTTCCAGAGATTTTTTTTTTTTTTTAGTAGGCTCATACTCTGGAAACCTGATTTTTACTTATAATATCACAAACATATCACCATGTTAATTAATGTACTTTTACTACATAATCTATATGATATTGTACTCTGTAGATTACATATTTAATTAATTGATTCCTTGTTTTGGAAATTTTGTTTCTGACTTTTCAGAAGTTGTATTCTGTGTTTTTTTAAAAATACTTGGAGATATAATTTATATACCATACAACTCATCCATTTAAAGTGTAGAATTCAGGACTTCGCTGGTGGCACAGTGGTTAGGAATCTGCCTGCCAATGCAGGGGACACGGGCTCAAGCCCTGATCTCGGAAGATCCTACATGCTGCAGAGCAACTAAGCCTGTGCACCACAGCTACTGAGCCCGAGCTCTAGAGCCCGTGAGCCACAACTACCGAAGCCCGTGAGCCACAACTACTGAAACCCGTGTGCCACAACTACTGAAGCCCACGTGCCTAGAGCCCATGCTCCGCAACAGGAGAAGCCACCAGTGCGTGAGAAGCCCATGCACTGCAATGAAGAGTAGCCCCCACTTGCCACACTACAGGAAGCCCGCACTCAACAATGAAGACCCAACACAGCCAAAAATTAATAAATAAAATTATTAAAAAGAAATAAAATTTAAAAAGCATAGAATTCAGTGTTTTTGGTATATTACGTTATTAATTTTTTTAATTTTGGTAAAATATATCATGAAATTTACCATTTTAACCACTTTAAGTGTACAGTTCAGTGGCATTAATTGCATTTACAGTGTTGTGCAACCATCACCACGATTTCTAAAACGTTTTCATCACCCCAAACAAAAACTCTATTAGGCAATAATTTCCCATTCTTCCCTTCCCCCAGCTCTTAGTAACCTCTAATCTACTTTTTGCCTCTGAATTGCCTATTTTAGGTACTTCATGTAAGTGGAATCATACATTTGTCCTTTTTTTTTAATGGCTTATTTCACTTAGCATAATGTTTTCAGGGTTCATCCATGTTAGCATGTATCAGAACTTCATTCCTTTTTATGGCTGAATAATGTTTCATTGTATGTATTTATTACATTTTGTTTATCCATTCACCTGTTGTTGGATAAGGGCTGCTTCCACCTTTCCGCTATTGTGAGTAATGCTGCAATGAACACTGGCATACAAGGATCTGTTTGAGTCTTTTGGGTATAGAGCTGGGGGTGAGATTGCTGGATCATATAATAATTCTGACTTGTTGAGGAGCTGCCAAACTGTTTTCCACAGCAGCTGTACCATTTTACATTTCTGCCCGTGATATGTGGTTTCTTTATCCTCACCAACACTTATCATTTTATGTTTGTTTGTTTGATTATAACCACCCTACTAGGTGTGCAGTGGTATCGCATTGTGGTTTTGATTTGCGTTTCCTTAATGACTAATGCTGTGAGCATCTTTCTTGTCTCACATGTCCTTTTTTTTTTTTAAATAACCATCCTGAAGGGTGCACTGGCATCTCATTATGGTTTTGATTTGCATTTCCCTGATGACTAATGAGGAACTTTCCCATACTGGCCATCTGAATATCTTCTTTGGAGAAATGTCTGTTTGAATCCTTTGTCCTTTTTTTTCCCCCCCAGAATATTGCATTAAAAAAATTGTCTTTTGCAATTTTTAAAATTGGGTTATTTATCTTTTTATTGCTAAGTTGTAAAGTTTTAAAAATATATTTTTGGTACAAGTCCCTTATCCAGAAACATGATTTGTAAATATTTTCTCCCATCTTGTGTCTTGTCTTTTCATTTTCTTGGTAGTGTCCTTGGAAGCACAGAAGTTTTAAATTTTGATGAGGTCTCATATCTTGCACTTTAGAACATACAGTATGCTTTCTATTGCCTGTGGTGCAGAGATTAAAAGATTGATAAAGTGAGGCCAGAACTGTAAAAGAGGTATAACTGGTAAGTGTATAGTGCCTGGGACTGAGAGTTGAGGGTGGAAGAGAGAGGAGATAGTGGTAGATGGAAAAGAAGAGTGGAAGCAACAGATTCTTGATACTTCCTTGACTGATTCCAGGGCATAATTGGGTCCAAGTTAAGTCAGGCTAGAGAGGTGGGAGAGGTTGTCCATTTTGCAAAATGGTTTTCAGCATTCTTCCTGTTGTGTAGTCGTGGCAGGAAAGAAAGCTTTCCATAAATATTTCCCATAAGCTTACCACTTTTTAGGACATTTCCTTTGTGTGAAGAAGTTAGATTCTAATCAAGAACCAGTAATCCCTTATATCCTGTTCTACATTATATAAATGGGTACAGTTGTCTATGGTCAACATTGAATCCCAGGCTGGGCTAGGATATAGCAGCTATACCATCAAAAATGTATATTCTTAGACTGACTTTAATTTTAGATTGAGAAAAATGTAATCATGAAGGTAAATTTTACACCAAAAAAGTTTGGAAACATATACTATTTTTTAAAGCCAAATATTGATTTTCCTCACACTTTGTCCTATTAGCACAGGTTGATGGACTAAAAATGAAGATGATTCTTTGTTGTCTAAGCTAGATTAATTTTCTCTTTTTAAAAAAAAGTCAGTTGAGAGTGGTTGGCACAATAAAGTTCTGAAAGTGCTCCAAGGGGTCATTCTGGAGACTAGAAGTAGTGTGGGTACATTGTCTGTCATGGAGGTGTCATTTCCAGAACATCTTGCTTATAATTTTGAACTCTAGTGTCTAGAGTAAGGCTTCACTGAAATCTGTTTCCTTTTAAACTTTTGCTGCTGTGCCTTTTGGATCCTCTCAACTGAGTATGTCTCTAAATTTCCATCTGTTTTTAGGCTATAAAACTGGACTGCTTTCTGTCTCTTTCTATAACTCTTGACTTCATGCCCATGCAGTGTGTTTCAGTGTTGCTATATTATACTTTTGTTTCTCCTTTGTTTAAGGAATGGATCACTTTCCAGAGAAATTTTTATCTAAACATTTGACTTGATTTTTGCTGCTATTCTCTACAGTGATTTAGTTTTAAATTTTAAATAAGTTTGTGATTGTACAGGTACTGTTTTTCTTTTTTCTTGAACTTAGATAATGTTTTTTTTTTACAGCATTCCATTACACACATTATTGATGGAGTATATTCTTTTATTTATTTATTTATTTATGGCTGTGTTGGGTCTTCGTTGCTGTGCACAGGCTTTCTCTAGTTGCAGTGAGTGGGGGCTACTCTTTGTTGTGGTGTGCAGGCTTCTCATTGCGGTGGCTTCTCTTGTTGCAGAGCACGGGTTCTAGGCACGCAGGCTTCAGTAGTTGTGGATCGCAGGCTCAGTAGTTGTGGCTCACGGGCTCTAGAGCGCAGGCTCCATAGTTGTGGCACACGGGCTTAGTTGCTCCGCGGCATGTGGGATCTTCCTGGACCAGGGCTCGAACCCGTGTCCCCTGCATTGGCAGGCAGCTTCTTAACCACTGCGCCATCAGGGAAGCCCTTAGACAATGTTTTTTATGTAGGGATTTTTATTCCTAATGTGAGGCAGTTCATTTTGCTGTTCTCTTAGGATTTGATATTAATAAAACACTTAAATCAACAATCTTACTTTGTGATGCTGTATAAAAAATAAATAAATTAAATTAAAATTTTAAAAAACCCAGTCTTTGTGATATTTGCCATTTAGAGATGTGTGGATAGAATATATGCTTTTTTTAAATTAAAAATTTAGTAAGTTTATATACATGTACATTGAGATTGAAACAATTCAGAAGTACGTAAGGTGAAAGTTCTCCTTAACCTTAGCCTACTCTTTTTTTTTTTTTGGTTGCTTTGGGTCTTCATTGCTGCGCACGGGCTTTCTCTAGTTGCGGTGAGCAGGAGCTACTCTTCGTTGCGGTGCGCAGGCTTCTCATTGCAGTGGCTTCTCTTGTTGTGGAGCATGGGCTCTAGGTGCACGGGTTTCAGGAGTTGTGGCACACAGGCTCAGTAGTTGTAGACCGCGAGCTCTACAGCACAAGCTCTGTAGTGGCGCACAGGCTTAGTTGCTCTGCTGCATGTGGGATCTTCCCGGACCAGGGATGGAACCCGTGTCCCCTGCATTGGCAGGCGGATTCGTAACCACTGCGCCGCCAGGGAAGTCCCAGCCTACTCTCCTTAGGTAATCACCTACCAACGTTTTTGTGTGTGGCTTTCTGGTCCTCTTTTGATGTATTTATACACAGATAAAAATGCATGCACACAAACGTTGTCTATTGTTATTTTTTTGCTTAACAGTGTATCTTGGATAGCTTTCCATATCAGAACATGCAGATAGCTCAACTCCATTCATAATATATACAATAATCTATTTAACTATTCATATATTTGTGGACATTTAGATTTTCTGTTTACAGATGATGCTGACATAAACATTCATTACATATGTCTTTGTGCACATGTGCAACTATTTCAGTAGCACAGCTCCTAGAAATGGAATTACTGAGCCAAAGGGTATGCAAACTTAAATTTTGTTAGACTCTGCCAAATTGCCCTCAAAAAGGCTGAACCAGTTTACACTCCCACGAACTGTCAGGATGCTGGTTCTTCCCCACCCCCACCCTTGCCATAGCCAGATATGTCTTTATTTTAACCAATCTGATGGGTGAAAAATGAAATCACATTGCTTTAATTTGCATTTTCATGATTACCAGTAAGGTTGAGCATCTGTTGTTTTCTCTGAATTGTTTTTTCTTTGCCCATTTTTGTAATGAGCTATTTTCTTTGTTAGTAGGATATCTTTGTATACAACGTATATTACCCTATCACCTTTGTATGGTGAAAATATTTTCTCCCAAGCTATTGCTTGTCATTTGGTTATATCTGTGGTAAGTTTTTA